CTCATGCGAGTGAATTCTCTCTCCTGTATGAGCCCACGCAGTTTCCTCGGGGGACTCCCTCCCTCCCGCCGCCCGCCCCCCCCCCCCCCCCGCCCCACCATATGGCGGGGTTGGTGATATAGTAGAAATGCTTTATACAGACATTCAACATGTAATGGCTTTGGCCCCTAAAGCTCCACCCCCTCCTCATCCAGTATTTCAAAGAAATACTGCCCATAGGTTTAGAAAGGTGGGGTTTAAGAATTAATTGCAGCCATGCACCCATTAACAATATTTCCGTCAACAGTGGATCGCATTTACAGTGATGGTCCCATAGATTATAATGGAGCTGAAAAATTCCTATTGCCTAGTGATTCTTTGCCATCATAACATCTTAGCACAACGCATTACTCACGTGTTTGTGGTGATGCTCCTGTAAACAAATCTATTATACTGCCAGTCCTATACAAGCATAACATACAATTATGTACAGCACATAATATTTGACAATGATAATAATCGACTGTTACTGGTTTGTGTATTGACGATACTTTTTATTCTTATTTTAGAGTGTACTCTTTCTAGCTATATAAAATAAGTTTGCTGTAAAACAGTATCCTGTGTAATTCCGGCAGTAGCCTTGTGCATCTCATGTTTACCACGTCCCTTGATTGCATCATTTTTCTTGTGCTTGATTTTAATCTCGTGTTGTTTTGTACTGATTGTAGCCAGAGAGCAAGAGGCTGTGCCATATAGTCCAGGTATGTAGTAGGTTATCCCATCTAGGGTGGTGTACGTGAACTCTACAACGTTTGCACAACAAAATTGCTTAAGGATGCATTTCTGAGAACATGTCCCTGTCTTCTAGTGGTGTATGACTGTATTGGATTTAGCAATTGGTGACATTGACAACAGTAGTTTCAGTGGAGTGGCAGGGGCCCAAACTTCACGAGTTCGAGAGGTTAGAGCAGCCGTGGGCAAACTATGGCCCGCGGGCCGGATCTGGCCCGTTTGAAATGAATAAAACTATTGAAAAAAAAGACTGTACCCTTTTATGTTTACTTTGAATTTATATTAGTTCACACAAACACTCCATCCATGCTTTTGTTCCGGCTCTCCGGTCCAGTTTAAGAACCCATTGTGGCCCTCGAGTCAAAAAGTTTGCTCACCCCTGGGTTAGAGGCAAGTTTTCTGAGGTGCCAAAATGGAGCAGAGAACTGGAATAGAGCTGGAGGAAGATAGGCGGTTAAGAGTGGATTTTTGTTTTTAAATATATTTTATTGATTTTTTACAGAGAGGAAGGGAGAGGGATAGAGAGCCAGAAACATCGATGAGAGAGAAACATCGATCAGCTGCCTCCTGAACGCCGCCCACTGGGGATGTGTCCGCAACCAAGGTACATGCCCTTGACCGGAATGGAACCTGGGACCCTTGAGTCCGTAGGCCGACGCTCTATCCACTGAGCCAAACCGGTTCTGGCAAGAGTGGTTATTTTTAAGATGGAAGAAATCGTGGTATACTTACTTGTGTGCTGTTTGGAATGATCTAGTAGAGGCAAAACTGATGATGCAAGAGAGAGGGGGAGATATTACTGGAAAGATGTCCTTGAATAAGAAAGAGGACAAGGGCCCTAACTGGTTTGGCTCAGTGGATAGAGTGTCTGCCTGTGGACTGAAGGGTCCCAGGTTTGATTCTGGTCAAGGGCATGTACTTTGGTTGCAGGCACATCCCCAGTAGGGGGCGTGCAGGAGGCAGCTGATCGATGTTTCTCTCTCATGGATGTTTCTGGCTCTCTATCCCTCTCCCTTCCTCTCTGTAAAAATCAATAAAATATATTAAAAAAAAAAAAAAAGAAAGAGGACAAGGAACTTTCAGTGATGCTGTGTTGCTATGCAGGAGAGAAAAAAAATTCTCTGGTCCCTCTTAGGGTTCCTGGCTGGGTCTGAAAATTAAACTGATGAAGACATATAAACTGGAGAAAAGCATGTTCATTTACTTCCCGTAAGTTTTATATGACAGGGAGCCTTCATAAAGAAAGACAGACGTGTAAAAATGTGTTTTATGCCAGGTTTGATGAAAAGTGGACCGTCGCGTAGCAATAGGATAGAACAAAGAGTATGAGGTAAATGTAGTAAACTGGGGAAACTTGGCAAGTCCTGTTTGTTCAAATTCTTCCCACGAACCCTCCATCCTGGAGACAAGTGTGCTCCTTTCCTCCAGGTATAGGAAGGGCACTTCCCACACCCCGGATTCATGACCTGCTTCAGGGGAGAAGGGAAGGTCAGTGAGAGCTTTCTGTTGCTGCTGCTTTCTCAAACTCCATCAGCTTAAAATATTCAGTATGCCAAGATGCCATACTTTGGAGTACTGTGTTCTGAACCCTGTCAGCTGGTTAAGTACAGCTATTACTAAATTTTATAAATGTATAATTAGATAAACTATATTTTAAAAGGTAGTAGGTATTCAAAACCCATCCCTTCCTAATTATGTCACTACCTTTACCGTCATCTATGTTCCTGTGGTTCTGTCTGTCGTGCGTGCATGGTGGGAATGCCACACAATGGTGCACTCCTGTGCTTGCTCTCCCAATGCCACACTTAGTGACATCACCGTGGTAGTCTGACACTGGCCACAGTGGGAGCATTTACACCACAGAAGTCATAAGCTGTTTGTTAACCATTTGACAACTCATCGCTGGATTCAGTGGACAAGTGGAGAGACTGGCCCTCAGGTCAGTGCCCATAGTTCATCCAGAAGAACAGGAGAGAAGGCGGGGCATTTGGACAGGTGGGTGGGTAGATGCGGAAAACAGAGGTTTCCTATTTACTGAGTGAAAAAGGAAGCCAGGTAAAGCACCCCAGAATAAGGCTGGGAGGGAAGTGGTGGAGGTTAGAGTGGGAGGAGTGTGGCACACTAAATGGATTAGACTCTAATTTAATCCGGTTCTCAACCTGTGAAAATACATCCTGCATATCAAATATTTACATTACGATTCATAACAGTAGCAAAATTACAGTTATGAAGTAGCAACGAAAATAATTTTATGGTTGGGGGTCACCACAACATGAGGAACTGTATTAAAGGGTTGCGGCATTAGGAAGGTTGAGAACCACTGGATTAGAGAAATGTAGCGTTTTCATCTGGCATCATTAAAGGCCCCTTGAGGTTAGTGAAGTATGGTAGCAATCATCTCAGGTAGAAACTGTAGTTTAACCCTGCTGTTTGGTTTCTATACTTATTTTCTTGCTAAAATAATAGAAAAGATATTTTAATTTTCTGAATTAAATAAATCACCCCATTCAATTAAATACCCTATTGATTGTAATGTGAAATCCCATTGGTTGTGATCATACTGGTCTTAGAAAGCACATTTTCCTTTACCTGGGAAGGACAGCACAATTATCTCAAGGTCAGAGAGCTCCAGTTAACGTGTCCCCGTTGACTCAGTGTTCCGGAGACCCAAAAACTGTAATTGAAATAACATGCTTAAGTCTGCTTCTGTAAACTGCTTTTTTTGCAAACCACGTTCCTCATTCCAAACCTTGGGATGTAATCAATACCTTTGTGATCTTTGCCTATATAAATCTAGTGTTGGGGCTGGGGCGGACACTATGAGATCTGGGAGAGCGAAATGCCCTCTCATAGTCCCGGATTTGCAATAAATGTGACTCTTTAATTCGACTTCTTGAGGCGTCCTTGTGTGATTTGCGGGTACATTACGTTAGTAGTTATGAATTCAAAAGAGGCCTGATAGTCCTGGCTGGAGTGGCTAAGTGGTTAGACTCAGAGTGTCAGCCTGCACACCCTAGGGTCTCTAGTTCGATTTCTGTCAAGGTTGCATACCTGGGTTGTGGTTCCCTCCCCACCCCTGGTTGCCCCTGGTGGTGGGGGGGGGGGGGACGTGCAGGAGGCAACTAGTTGATGTGTCTCTCTCACATCTCTCTCTCTCTCTCTCCTCTCTCCCCCTCCTTCCCTCCTTTGCACTCTCTCTGAAAAACAATGGAAACAAGATACTCTGGTGAGGATTAACAAAACAAAACAGAGGCCTGATAGCAGTGGATGTATATCTCCCTTGTTCAGCAGCTTGGATGAAGCAGTGACTGACTGGACAGCTGGCTTTATCCAAGGCTAGGCTTTTGCGACCAGTGTGACCATGTGTCAGGGGCAAGTGAGATGATACAATTATACATGTAAAAGCCATCGCCTCACAGACCTTCCTTATTCATTCTAGCTAACATCATTTACTACCTACCACTCCTGCAACTTTAATCCATTATCCTGTTTATTTTCCCATTTGGTTAATTGGTTAAGTCACCGGGCTTACCACTCCTACTGACTGTGCTTTATTTACCGCTGAATCCAGTGCTAGCTACCACAGTGCTTGGTGCATAGTAGGTCTTCAGTAAGTAGTATGGTGAAGAACTTATTGAATGAATGGATCACCTGCTCCTTCTCACCAATGTGCACGGTCCGAATGAAGAACACGCACAATTCTTTTTCTAACTCCTTGTTGTTTTCTCTGTGGTGTTTAATCTTTAAGAAGCAAAGGAATTTTTGGAGCCAGCTTCTACACTTGAGACCCAAAGTCAAGCCGGGAAGGCAGCTGCCCGGGCCCTGTCTCACCGTACTAACAAGGAGGGTGATATCACAGCTCCTAGGTGCGGAGAATGCCTGTTTACGGTGTTTACTCCTTTTTCAGGGTCGCCATCAGCGGTTTACGGCTTACCCTGTGGCTCCAGACCAAGTGATGACACAAAGGCACAAGTCCCAAAGTCCGAGGCTCCAAGGCCTGGCGGGCAGCTCCGGGCCTGGAAACTGCGGTCCGCAGGCCCCGCGGGGGAGGGGGCGTCCCGGCCGCTCCAGGCGCCGCCTCCGGGCGGAGACGGCGGGGCCCCAGAGGCGGGGTGCGCCTCCCCCACTCCGCCGCCGACAGAGGACGTTGGCGGAAGAGGGCGGGGACGTGACCGCTTGTCTGTTTCTCCGAGCGGACAATAAAGTTTCAAAGTTTGAAAGACGAGGAAAAAACCCACGCCCCTTGGGTCGCCCTCGTGTGGCGGCCTGCAGTCCGGGTGGAGCTCGCGTGGCCCTGCGCTCGCGGAGGCGTGGCGGCCGCGGGGGCGCGCGGGGATGGGGGTCACAGTGGAGGTGCACCAGGTGTACAAGTACCCCTTCGAGCAGGTGGTCGCCAGCTTCCTCCGAAAGGTACCCGCCCGGCTCCGGTCTGGGGCTCCCGTTCTCCCGCGCCTTCTCCGCAGCCAGCTGTCTGCGCCCCGCGCCCGCTTCTGCAGCCGTCCCTCCCCCTCCCGTCCCCGCGTCCCCATCCCCCCTGGCCGCTCATCTCCCCTCTTGTCCTCTTTGTCCCCCGTGTCCCCTCTCGTCCCCCCTCCGCTCCCCACGCCAGAGTCCGCACCCACCGTCTCCCCTGCCGCTGCGGTGCTGCCTCCGCGCTGTGCTGGGCGAGGGTGGAGGTTTCCTCGAAGGCTCCCCCCTCCGGCCGCGGGGAGGCTCCGTGCGCGGCCTCACGTTCACTCTCTGCTGCAGCGGAGGGAGAGGCTCGTGGGGAGGGTTACAGGAAACCCAGGTTCCCGGGCCCCGTGGATGTTGGGTAGGACTTGTCGTCTTTCTAGAACATCAAGGACCCCTTAAAAGCGAGTGGGGGGGTCACTGAAGCCATCCTCTTAAGTCTTCTCCGCATTCTTTCCATCGCCTGCCCACCTTCTCTTTTATTCCAACAGCTGTGGGCCTTGGGGCAGATGGCTTACGCTCCCCGTGCCTTAGTTTCGTAATCTGTGAAGTGGGGACAATAGTGGTTTCGTCATCTGTGAAATGGGGGAAACAATTGTATCAGCTCCCACGGTTGGTTGTGAGGAATCAGGTGAGATAATTCCTGTAAAGTGCTTATCCCAGTGACCGGTGCCTCTAAAAAGCTGCTGTTTGTACTCCTGTATCGGAGCACCCTGGCCGCAGTACTCAGTGGCCCTCTTTATGCCAAGGGCTCCTCCGAGGAGGACCGAGGTTCCTGGCAATAGGATAATGGGAAATTTCTTTGAAAAATCAAAAGCACCCAGGCCTGGGGGTGGGGCCCTGGACTCTAGTCTGGCTTTACCTTTGCTTAGTTCACTTGATGACCTTGGTCAAAGGTCATCTTCTCTGCAGGCCTCATATGTGCGTCTCAGCTGAGCGTTGTACCAGAGACCTTCCAGGTGTCCCTCCAGCTTTCACATTCTTAAGCAAGATCTCACCAAGGTGCATTAAGCAGCCGTCGCCAGGCAGTGCGCTCCATATGCTGTGTGGGAGCACACCTAAGGGAGATGCTGGGGGAGGAAGGTGGTAATTTTTTTAGTGATAAGACCTGACTTTCATTAGAGGAGATTATGAAGTTGGGGGCCCAGGTCACAAAGGAGTGAGTAGGATGCTGGTGAACATGATGTCACCATGGAGGCCTGTTTGGGGAGGTGGGGGGAGATGCCAGCTTGTTCATGGCACCTACTAGGTGCTCAATAAAAAAAATCTGAGGAATGATGAATGAAGCCCAAATTAGTGACCTGATGTAGTCTTTGCCTTAGGCCAGGCTTCTGGGTCCAAAAGAGAAGTAGCAAACACCCTTTTTTGTTGTTAGGATTGGCACTCTGGAGGGTGGATTCTCTAATGCCACGGCTCCTTGGAAAGCCTTTCTGGATTGTCCTTGTCAGGAGGTGATCTCTGCCTTGTCAGAACTGGAGGGGCACTGTGACCATTGTCTACAGTATTGGGTAGTTACTTCTGCACATACTTCCACCCTCGGCTGTGCATACTCTTGAAGAAGCACATAGCACAGTGCTGAGCTCTCATCTGAATTCAGCACTTGGCGCTTGTCAAGATTCTGGGCTAAATGTGTTGTTTTTTTCTCTTTATTTTCATTGAACACGTGTTTAGAAATACTTTCCTCTGTGTGCTAGGCTCTGTGGAGCTGATGGTTTCTCCTGGGTGAGAGTGACGTTAATAAATGATTAACACAATGAACACAGTTTCAATTCTGATGCGTATTTATACAGGGCAAGTTCATGGTGCTGTGACTGAATATAGCAGGGAGGCCTGTGGAATCCTGGTGGCCATTAGGAAAGGCTTCCTAGAAAGAGTGGCATTTGTGAAATAGTGGGTGAAGCGCGAGTAGGAATTTCCTAGGCAAGAAGGGAGAGGGGAGGACGGGCTTTCATGCATTACCATGCTTACTTCTCCCAGCAGCTTCAGGAAGTAATTATGATTGACTTCCATTTCACAGTCTGGAAAAATTGTGGTTTGGAGAAGTTTAAGCGCCTCTTCCAAGTGCCCAGAGCTAGCAGGTGGGAGAGCCAGGATTTCAACATTTCTGAATCCAAAACCCACAACCCTGATCACCAGCCTGTGCTGCTTGTACCCAGTAAGAACAGAGATGATTATAGTCATCCCTCAGTATTCCTTGGGATTGGTTTCAGGACCCCGTCCCCCCTCAGATACCAAAATCCGAGGATGCTCAAGTCTCATACATAAGATGGCGTAGCATTTGCCCATAACCTGTGTTTGTAGATAGGTTACAGTAAGGAGTGCCTATACATAACTTCATTTGTGTGGATTCAATGTAGTGCTCATTGCGTGGCAAATTCCAGTTTTGCTTATTGGAACGTCCTGGGATTCCGCCCCCCGCCCCCCCAACTGTTTTCAATCCATGGTTGGTTGGACACAGAGAACTGATTGTACTGAGGTAGTAAAATGTTTCTGAATCAACTCTGCTATGCTCTCTATCTAATCTCAGTTTCCTGTTGTCCACAGTCTTCTCTGGGGTTTATTCATCTGGGTGGACCTTTGGTGCCTGCTATAAGGGCATGGCTTAGCTGTGTGATAGGGTGAGAAAATACAGTGTTTCAGTTACCTGCTGCAGTGTAACAAGTCACCCCTGTTATTCAGAGGCTTACACCAATGATAGGATTCTCACGATTCTCTGGTTGACTGGGCTCAGCTGAGGGGTTTTTTGTGCCATGTATTGTAACCTGAGGTCACCTATATAGCTGCATTCAGTTAGGAGCTAGAAGAATTCTTATAAAATACTTAGCAAACTGGCACATAGTAAATGAAGACCGAGGAGGACATTTTGGAAGGTAGGGGCAGGGAAAGGGAAGGAGAACATTTTCAGAAAAGGCCTAGTGATGGAACAGTGTCAACACTATGGACAACACGACACTTCCATTGTTTCTATTCAAAAGCAATCTTCACGGATCCCTGGGAGGGGCTATGTGACTATTTCTGAGACATTGGTAAATCCAATGGCTGTGAGAATCTTCATCTTATGTTATTTAAAGCTGTTGGTGGTGGCGAGAATGACACCAGGTGTTAGACCAGTGGGGTTAGACCAATGGGGTCAGACTGGACCTTGGTTCAGCAACCTCGGTACTTGAGTTCTGGCTAGGAAAAAATTCAGAGCCAAGACTCTAACCATAAGAGGAAGTTTATGAAGAAAGTCACAGAGGTAGAAGTGAGTGGGAGAAGAAATGGGCTCAGGAAACAAGTTACGGAGGCAAAAGAAGGGGCCCGTGGATCTTAGAGAGAAGGGTAAAGGGAATGTTGCTGAGGGTGTGGGGGCAGAGGAGGAAGATGGGGAGGGGAAAGGTCCTCCGTCCTAAGGGGTTTTAAGGGTCGGATTTTAGGGGGGGTGTCGTCCCAGGGGAGGATCTTAACAGCAGCTTTCAAGGTGTGTCCTTTCAGGGTTGTGGTACCACTGATTGGTTGGCACCAGGGCAGGGATCATTAGTCAGTGCTGCTGGTCCTGAGGTCAGCTGTGGTGCGCTTGTCTGGTTTTGCTGCTTTTCTGGGCCTGGATCCCAAGCACAACTAAAGCCTAGATGTCTTTGATGCAGGTCAGAACCTCATTGTCCTGGGGGCTTAATGCTTAAGGGCTGTTCTCTGGCCCCCTTGCCCATCCCCCCTCTCAGGGGGTCTAACCCTCATGACTAGCGACATGTCAGGGGAGGAAAGGTCAGGGGAAGGTCTGAACCTCATGACCAGCGATATGAAAAGTCAGGGGGTCTAACCCACATGACCAGCAATATCCTGGGAAGGAAAGATTACCCGGGGGAGGGCGGGCGAGGTCCTTGTTTTCTGCCCTGGTGACCTTCTTCTATTCCTGGCCCATCGTCCTTGCTCTGCTCATGTCTGTCCAACTGCCTACCACAAAGCCATGAACCGGAAGTCAGTAGACCTGGACTCAGTCATTGTGCTGTCCCTGTTAAAAGCAGTTTTTAGCCCTAGTCGGTTTGGCTCAGTGGATAGAGCGTTGGCCTGTGGACTAAAGGGTCCCTAAAGGTCCCAGGTTCGATTCCGGCAAAGGGCACATGCCCAGGTTACGGGCTCGATCCCCAGTAGGGGGTGTGCAGGAGGCAGCCGATCAATGATTCTCATCATTGATGTTTCTATCTGTCTCCCCCCCTCTCCTCTCTGAAATCAATAAATGAAAAAAAAAAAAGCAGTTTTCAGGTGGCTTTGGGAAACAGTTCCACCAGCCTATGCTGTGCCCTTGTGCAAATTAGAAAGAGGCATCACCTAGGGTTCTTATCCCACAAGCTCACAGTAAACAGGGCTAGAGGAAAGTAAAGGGTCTGTTTATGCAAATTACAAAAGGGTGCTCCTTCCTCCAGGTGGCTGCAGCCCTAGTGCAGGCAGCCCTAGTGCAGGCAGCCCTTGTGCAGGGAGCTCCATGCACGGCCATCTAAGGTGACCCTACCATCTTAATTTCTCATCTGTGAACGCCAGGAACCCCACCTATCTCCCAGGATTGTGAGAAGACCAAATGCGTAGCAGTTTGACAAGCATAAGCTTTTTATAAGCCTAAAAGTTGTCTGAATGATTTTTTTTTTGGCATAATACACTTCCTTTTTAGTCGTCTTATAGTGTTTTCAAAGGAAAGCACTTGGCAGAAGGGACAATCACATGAGGATCTCTGGGAAGCCTTGGATCTGATTTTGCACAATGGTACGTTTGAGGCCTCTTCAGCGCCAAGGAGGTTCTATTTTAAATAGAGTCTCCTGATCTGTGGCTTTTGGTATGTTAGGACTTGCCTTCCAAGTTATTATATACTACTATTTTTAAAGCCTGAGAAATGTTTGCTCTTACACCTGCCTGTTGGCTACCACAGGCAAAATATTAGCTACATGCTTTCAAAGCTAAGTGGCACCTTGAAAACAAACAGCACA